AGGCGATGACATTGATCCTAAATTATATTTCTCGTCAATATTTTCCGGGGAGAATATAGAACATAGAACATAAAACAGTACAGCACAGTCCAGGTCCTTTGGCCCACGATGTTGTGCCGAAATTTTACCCTAATCCTAAGGTCTATATAACCTCCACTCCTATCTTATACTATATCCATGTGCTTATCTAATGGCCGCTTAAATGCCCCTAATGAGGACGAATCCATTACCCTCTCCGGCAATGCATTCCACATCCCTACCACTCTCTGAGTAGAGAACCTACCTCTGATGTCTCTCCTATACCTACCTCCACTTACTTTAAAACTATGTCTCCTCGTAATAGCTACCTCCACCCGAGGAAAAAAGTCTCTGGCTGTCCACTCTATCTATTCCTCTGATCGTTTTGTACACCTTTATCAAGTCACGTCGTTCTAAAGCGAAATGCTCTAGCTCTCTCAACCTTTCCTCGTAAGACCTTTCCTCCATTCCAGGCAACATCCTGGTAAATCTCCTCTGCACTTTTTCTTATGCTTCGACATCTTTCCTGTAATGAGGCGACTACAATTGGACACAATACTCCAGATGTTGCCGAGCCAGGGTTTTTATCGAATGACTTAGAAGTTGGGAACTCAGCGAAGTAAGTAGTAATGTCATCAGAAGAGTCCACATTACCGAAGAGGAGATGCTGTAGGTCTAAATATGCATAAGGGTAGTTAAATACCAGGGACTTGATCAAGTCTATCGCAGGAAATTTTTGGAAAAATGGGAAGAAATTTTGGCCACCTTGTAAGATAGTTGTCAGGTGCCAGAAGATTGGACAGTGACTAATGTTGAGCCGTTTTTCTCAGGAAGGTAATAGCCTAGTGATAGTATCACAGGACTGTTAATCCAGAGACCCAGGTAACGTTTTGGGGACCCTGGTTCAAATCCCATCTCGGAAAATTAATGCAATTGAATTCAAAGAAAATAAATCGGAATTTAGATTCTAACCATTACCAAGACTCCATTGCCAATGTTTGGTTTAAAAAAAAAGTCTAGTTCACTAATGTCCTTTAGGAAGGAAGCAGCCATCCTTATCTGGTCTGGCTGATATGTGAATCCAGACTGATGGCAATGTGATTGACACTTAACTGCCCTCTGGTCAATTAGGGATTGGCAATAAATGGTTCCTAGCCAGTGATGCACATATCCCGGTAATATATTAGGAAAAAAAATAAGAAAGTTTGCATGGTATATTAAAAAAAAGAAACTGCAGTGAATACAATGTCAGTTTGGTTAACTTATTGGAGGAATTTCTAACTCACAGGATCTGCATTTATTTGGAAAAGCAAGGACTGATTAAGGATGATCAACATGACTTGGTGCATGGGAAATCGTGTCTCACAAATTTGATTGACGTGTTTCAAGTCGTGAGCAAGATGATAGATGAAGGGACTGCAGTAGATTTTGCCTACATAATGTTTCAAAGTGCCTTAAAGAACATATCGCATGGTCATGTGGTTAGCAAGGTTAGATCACACGGGATCGATGAAAAGTTTGATAATTGGACAAACACTGCCTAGACAGAAGGTGGTCAAAGAGTGTTGTCTTTCAGGTCTGAGGTCTGTGTTCTGCAGTATGCCACAAACATCGGTATTGGGCCCACTGTCATTTGCATAAACGAATTGGAGGACATATGGAGGCAGAGCTCATAATTGTGTGGATGACACAAAAAATTGTGGTATGGTAGAGAGTGAAGAAAGTTATCGAAGAGTGCAATAAGGTCTTGATCTACTGGTGAAATGGGCTGCGGAGAGACATATGGAGTTTAATACAAAAATATGTGAGGTGTTTCTCTTTGCTCAGAAAAATAAGTTCAGGACTTTTACAACTAATGATAGTCTAATCGATCAGGGAGACATTGGGGTGCATGTCGATCCTTCCTTGAGAATAGTACCATAGGTAGACAGGATGATGAAGGAGTTTGGCACACCTGCCTTCAACTGTCATATCATTCAGTACAGGAGCTTGGTCATCATGTTGCGGCTCTTCAAGACATTGCGAAGGCCACCCTTTGATTCCACATACAATTCTGATCATCCAACCATTGGAAAGATTTTATTAAACAGGAAAGGGTGCAAAATAATTACAAAGATATTACTGAGCCTGAAAGATTTGAGTTATACAGAGAGGATACATAGACTGGGATTTCTTTCTTGGAGCGCAGGAGGTGAGGGACGACCTGATAAAGGTTTATAAAATCACGATGTGCATGGATAAGATGAATAGACCGGGTATTTTCTGCAAGTCTTAACGGCTGACGTTGAAAGGTGAGAGCGGAATGACTTGAAAGTGACCCGAGGAGCAATTTTTCATGCAGAGGGTGGTGCAGATATGAACGAGCTATCATACGAAGTGGGAGAGGTGGTTGATTTGACAGAACTTAACAGCTATATGGAAAGGAAAGGTTTAAAGGGATATATGCTCATCGAGGGAAATGGGACTGGTTCAGGTTAGAAACCCTGTTTGCATGAATGAATTGAGGCAAAGGGTAATTTAGCTTGGCCAAATCACCCAACCTGAACATATTTGGACACTGCGGGGAAACTGGAGCAAAACCAAGCAGATATGGGGTGAACATGCAAAATCCGCACTGACAGTCGCCTGAATACTGGGCCACCAGTGCAAACCACTGAGCCACCTTGGGCAGTTATAAGTCAAACACTTTGCTGAGGGTGTGGTGTCATGTGGAATGTTAGGACAGCAGTTTCCTTTCAAAAAGGGCATTTGTCAACATTGAGTTGCAGTAACAAAAAACTGAGTTTGTGATAGGAGTGATGCTGCTCACAACGGAAAACCATATATAAGTAATCAAACTTGCTCTTCTTTTCAAGGAAAGCCAGGAACATTGTCTAAGTTCCAAAAGGAAATATCTAAACTTGTGCAATCTCTTTGCAGAAAAGAATACAGGCGCCTTATTTGATTTATTTTGAAAAAGCAACAAAATAAATGAAGTGGTTGAAGGAAATCTGGGCATTGCTCTAATGAAACAGTAAGATTAGTGCAGCACTTTAAGATGTAATATTGACAGAAAACTACCGAATGAAAAAGAGTAGCTGTCGTCCTTAATATTGTTTTATAGTTTTGGGGGCATACGGTCTAAAGATTCGAAATTCAAGGAATCTTCTGGGCAGGACTATAGTGGAATTCATGGAGTTTTTTTTTTCAATGTCATTCGCAGGAAGTGGATATCGCTGAACAGGCCAACATATATTAGCCGTACATAATTGCTCAGAGGGCAGTTAAGATTCAACTACATTGCAGATGGTGTGGTATTACATGGAGACCATACCAAGTAAGGGCATCAGTCTCCTTCCCAAAAGAAAATTAGTGAACTAGTTGGGTTAACCCAAGAGAGGTCAGGGGCTTAATCCCAGCCAATTTTATATTACTGGTAAACAGTTCACAAACATTTTCACCAAGTCCTAAACAGCCACATTCCATGCCCCATGTAAAGTCACAGTGGTGCCAGTTTGCTCAGCAGATAACCATAAAATCTGCCTTAATTAGTTAACACTGGAACCATCCGTTTTATGCTTTTGTCTTTCTTTTAAGATTATTCCTGAAATATGTTTATCTTTCTGACGATGTGTGAATGGGGTAGTATTAACCAATATTGTGTTTGAATAATAGATATTAATTAGATTATCAACAAAGTTGCTTAAATTTGATTTTCTGAGGCTTCGGCATGACCAATGTTGTTTTATTTCCTTCTTGTTTTAACTGTAAACATCATGTCTGGTGTCGAATATTTAAATGAAAGCAACCATTGGGACAATTTTGATGTTCATTGAATGCATTAATTCTACTATCATGCAAATACAGGGATACGAAGGCTGACTTGTCTTTGCTTTCTGTCACTATGTTGGAACAATAAAATACATTAGTAGGCCATATATTTGTGTTCTTCTGCAAAGACTGCACTAAGAATGTGACTTAATGCCTGCAACAGTGGAAAAATAAGACCTGAAGGCAGAAGGAGATAATTCAACCAGACAGCCGACTCTGTTATTTAATCGGAATGTGATGATCTGATCACTTCACTTTTTTGCCCACTCTCTATAACCCTTCAATGTGTCATCAATTAGAAAGCTGCCAACCTTATCCCAAATTTATTAAATGCCATGGCAGCCACTGCCAAAGATCCGTGACAATTTGCAATAAATAATTTCTCCAGTAGCAGAGATTCAAATATTGTCTGTGAGAAGTGTTAACCAACCTGCAGCTAATGATTTGGCAGAATTGAATGTTGCGACTTTGCCTATAATCACAGCAAATTCAAATGAGGTTAAAGAGAGAAAAGTGCTATCAGAAAAGATTCCAGGCATTATTATTACGTGTGTGGTGCCCAGGGCAATGCAAAAGTAACGTCGATCGCTGGAAATGAAATTAATGAAACTCGCTGATATTCGGAATACCGACATTACCTTCAAAGTTGCACGCATTTCAAAAGAAGTGTGCACTATCTTGTTTAATTGAGCCTCAATAAGTAGATCTAAAGTTGAAAACAAGGTGACAATCAGCCAAACCTGATACTGTACGTGATAAAATTCTGTAATGTTGTTCCATTTAACATACAGATTCCAGTGGGGAACGGAAGATCTCCTCACAGGCCTGTAAACTCACAGTGGACAATTATTCATCAGGTAGTGGCACCAACGAGATAACGTAAAGTGTTGTTGAGTATAGCAGATGACGGTACAATTTGCAAAATATACCAATACAGAAAACTGAGACATTGGTCAAGGCAGCAACAACACACAAGCAACATAAAATCGAAGGAAGCTGAAGTTTTGGTTAGCACTTGGAACTATGTCAGAAGTGCGATTAAGGAGACTTGGCTGAAAGAGGGTCAGGATTGGCATCTGAATGTCCCAGTGGTTACATGATTCAGACGTGATCGAACGAGATGTAAAAGATGTGGACAAATACTGGCAAAGGAGTACCTAACAGCTGTATTGATGGAGGATGCATCAGAGGACTCATACAGTGATGCAATATGTGTAGAACTCAAGAATAGGGACTATGAAATTGCAGTGCTGGGGCCTCCCAACAGTCAACGGGAGGCAAAGGAGAAAATATGTAGTCAGATTTTGGAAAGATGTAAAAAGAGAGCAAAGTTATTTTGGTGGGTAATTGTAACTTCTCCTATATTGACTTGGACTCACGTTTTTGGAGGACTGATGGAGCAGAATTTGTACTAGCCTTTTAAGAGGGTTTCTTGACACTGTATATAAACAGTCCAATCGGTAAATGGGTTATGCTGGACCTAGTTTTGGAAAACGGGCCCGGCCAGTTAAGTGAAGTTTTAGTGGGGAGTATTTCAGGAGTCGTGACCATACTCATAGATCGGGATAACAAAAGTGCTCGGGTGAAGGTGTTTGATTTCGTCCAGGTGAACTAAAGAAACATTCGGCAGCAACTGGTGGATTGCAATTGTGGCCGGCTTTTTGAGGAGAAATCCATGCTGGACATATGGGAGTATTTCACACGGCAATTGATAAGAGTTCAGGAGTGGCACATCCTGCGAGAATGAAGGATAGCTTTGATGAGTTACATGAACCTTCGATGACCGATACGTTATAATCCTGGTTAAAAAGAACAAGTCAGCAGACATACAGTCTACTATGATGGGAACTGATGAAGCCCTTGACGTCTCTAATGAATGTGGAAAAGAAATTAAACAAGGAATTAGAAGGCCTAAGTGAATAAATACGGCATGATATGGATTCATATGGAGGCATAGGCAGAAAAATGGGAGATGGAGTTTATTGGGTAAAATATGAGGTGATGCATTTTGGAAGTTCAAATACAGGTTGAAATTATGCATAATAGCAGAACCATTAGACGTATTGTTCAGAGGAATCTGAGTGGTCAGGTCCACAGATAACTGAAGGTAGCAGTGCAGATTGGAAGGGGCATGCAGTATAATAAGTTATGTTGCAGCTTTGTAGAACTTTCTATGGCCACACTTGGAATATTGCATCCATTTATGGTCACCTCACTACTAGAAGGATGTGGATACTGTGAAAGGGTATGGAAAAGTTTTATCAGGATGTTGCCTGGTATGGGTTTTTTTTTAGCTCTGAAGAAAGTTTGGATAGATTGGGATGATTTTCACTGGAACGCAGGATGTTGAAGGGTGAACTGACAGAATTTCAAAAGATTGAAAATGGCAGGGATAGAATGTAAAGTTTGAGACTTTTTCACAGTTGGAAGGGGTCAATTACTAGAGGACACAGTAAGGTGCGTGGCGGGGTGGGGAGTTTAATAGATGTTTGAGGCAAGTTCTTCACACAAAGGGTGTTGAGTGCCTTGAATGCGCTGCTCGAGGAAGTGGTGGGAGCCACAAGAGCAGCATTCAAGAAGCATCTGAACTAATAGATGAATAGGAAGGGAAGAGGAATATGGTTCTTGTAAGTGAAGACAATTTCAAAGGAAAATGCATCAGTTCGCGCTTGGAGGTCGGTAGAGCCTGTTGCTGTACTGTAATGTTCTTTGTTGTTTGAAATAGGAACACGAGTTTGCCATTCAATGCGTCAGATCTGCTCCAGTGCTCACGAAGTTCTTGGCAAATGCTACACATCTTGCGTCCACTTCACCATCATTTCATTATAACCTTCGATTCACTTCCAGAACAAAACACAATTTATCTCAAATTTAAATGCACGGTAGGGCACAGCTCTTATCGCTCTCTGTAGCAAAGTGTTGATATGATTATCTATTTCGATATAAATACTTCTATGACACGGCACAACTAAAGTCAAAGGAAAATGGCCACAATAGGTAATGAAATACATCATTCTGGAATAAAGCACGGGTCAAATAAAAACTGTGTATAAGGCCATCAGAAGTAGGAACAGGAAAAATGACATTCAGGCCCTGGAGCTTGTTCCAATATTTATTCAAGTCAGTCTGATTTAACATTCGTTATGTCCACATCAATGCTCTTCCACATTGTCTTTGATTTTCATGCACATCAAGAATTCTATCCAACTTAGTCTTACATATGCGCAAGAACTTTACCTACACAGCTCTCTGTGGCATGTTCTAAAGAATTGTAACACTGTGTGAGAAGAATTTCCTCCTCATCTCGTTCTTAAATTAGCGCCAGTTTATTCTAAAATTGTCTCCACTGACAAGAGACTGTGCAATGAAGGAACTTATTCTCTGAGAATTTACTCTGCCAAGCTACTTTGGAATCCTATACGTCTCAATGATATCACCCTTAGATCTACTCTCTCCTTGTGTGGTTCCGAAATTAACAACTTTACAAAATACGGTTTAAGATTTACCATAATCATCAGAACTGAAAGAAAGCCAACACAATAATTGAGAACAATGACATTTTCCTGTTACTCTGTGCATTTGCCAAACATCTTGGTTCTGCAATGTTATTCCTTTTGTTTATTTTAGTGAAAGGTGTATCTGTTACTCAGCTGCGCTTTTTCCTCATGGACGAGTTGGGTGAAATGGAGCAGCAAAATTTCTTCTGTGAACGTAACACTGAAAATGTTGTGACATGTTTATTTTGTCCTCAACCAGGGACGTTTGCTCTATAAGAAGGGAATATTCACTGCTCTCTGGTGCTTTACAATTGAAAACGTGAATCAGGCATTGTTGTAAGAATGGCACTGCCAATAATTGTACAGATGAATTTAATTTACTACCCAATTCTCGCAGGCTTTGGCATTCCTGGTAAGTCAGTAATTTGGAAGTGTTAAACAGCATTGCTCTTGGCCTGTGACAAGCAATGTGCTGCAAGGTTAGTTTCGATATCTACTGTTGAGTATCATTTATTTCAACGATTTGAAAACATATGAAAGATGGTTAGTAAGTTGTTGGATGACACCAAAATTGGTATTACCGTGGAGAGTGAAGAAGGTTTTCTCTAATTACAAAGAGATCATAATCAACTTGACGAGAGGAAGGAGAAGTGACAGGTATTAAGACAAATGACAGGTATTGAATTCTATTCAGGCAAACCAGAGCAGGACTTACAGAGATAATGGTGGTGGAGTGTTGTTGAACAGGGTTACCTTGGGGTGCAGGAACACAATTCCTTGAAAGCGGAGTTGCATGCAGATAGGATGCGAGAAGACATTTGTTACGTTTGCCTTCGCTGGTTACTACATTACATGTAGACGTCATGCTGCATTTGTAAGAGACGTTGGTGAGCCACTATATGAAATGTTGTGCACAGTTCTGTTCGCTGTGCTGCAGGACGGAGCCTTTTAAACTGGAAATTGTGCATAGAAAACGAAGGATTTTGCTGATTTAGCTTGTGAGTTATATGGGGAGGCTGGTTAGTCTCGGACATTTCTTTCCCTGGAGCGTAGAATGCTGAGTTCTGACATTGCACTTTATTTAATTATTAAGGGCATCTAAACTGTAAATAGCAAAGTTCATTTTCCAAGACTGGGGATCTCCCAAATTAGAGGACATAGGTTTAAGTTGAGAGGGAAAAACTTAAAACGCAATTATTACACACCAAGGGCAGTGCATGCAAGGAATGAGCTACCAGAGGAAGTCTGGGTGATGTGCACAATTATAACATTATAAGACATTGGAAAAGTACATTAATAGGAAACATTTAGAGGGATATTGACCAAATGCTGGCAAAAGGGATTAGTTACCTGTGTGTTAACTTGTCGGCGTGAATGAGAACTCAGAATCCTTACAGAGTTGAAACAGGCCATTAGGCCCATTGAGTGGACACTGACCTTCTGAAAGCATCCCAATGTCCTATTCCTGCAATCCTGCATTCCCCAAGGCTAACCCATCGAAACTACACAACCTGAAACACCACGGGTAATTTTGTGTTGCCAAGCCACCTAAGTTGCACATCTTTGGACTATGGGAGGAAACCAGATCACTAGGCAGCATCCTGCACACACACAGGGAAAATGTACAAACTCCACACAGACAGTCGGCCGAGAGTGGAATTGAACCCTTCTTCCTCGCATTGTAAATCACTGAGCCACCAACCACAAAGCGTGTGTTCTGTACTGGATGATTATGTGACTCTATGGGTTTAATCATTGAATTGTCACAAAAGAGGATTCCACAGAGGATGTTTGACACCTTGTAACAGCTCATGTGGTATCTTCTGACAATATGCTTAGTGAATACGTATACATCCCTTAGAATCATAAAATAATTAGTAGCGCCAGTAAATTATTCAGCCCTTCATTAAGAAAAATAGAATCTCAGTTATGTGAGTTATGTTAATATACATTGGACCCTGCAGGAGGCTATCTGCATACACCAATGTCATTTGAAAACCAGGAAGGTGTAATTCCATGTGTCCATGGTGTTACAGTTTGTGGAAACAGCTTCTGTGTCCGGCTGTAACTCTTTTATTCTTTTTTTCTGATTTATTCAGTAAATACGTTTGTTTGTTTGCCTGTCTTTGTGTGAGAATCAAATGGGAAGAATCAAATAAGATTAGATTTAAATCTTTGCGAATATTCAGGTTACTTTGCCTTTTTAAAACTTTGCTCTGCTAAGGTAATATTCAGTCCCTTTCCTATGTTTCTTAAAAACCAATGATAATCTGATATTTCTGGTAATGGGGAATTATATGCTATTAGTCTGACATCAGTGGTAGGTTAAATGCTGGAGTCAATCATTAAGGATGTAATAAATGAGTTTTCAGAAAGCTGTGAATCAGACCTAGTCAGTATGGATGGAGTAAACGGAAATCATGCTTGACATCTCTTCTGGATTTTTTTTGTGTTTTGAGCATGCTACCAGTTGCTTGGAAAATGGTGAATCAGTTGACAATCTATATCTGGACTTTCAAAAGGTTTTTTTTTCTTTTTTTGCTAACTTTCCACACAAGAGATTAGTTTAAAAAAAAGAAAAAAAGAAAGCTCGTGGTATCAAAGGTAATACATTTACAAGGATAGACAAGTGGTCGGCAGACCGGAAACAGATTTTTGAAATAAGCAGGTCCTTCTGAGATTTCCAGACAGTGACGAGCGGGGTGCCATCGGGTTCAATACTGTGAACTCAGCTGCTCATAATGTACACATTCCCAACATGGACTAAGGAATTGAAAGTCTTATTTCCAAACTTGCAGATGACGCTGAGCTGGGTGGCAGTGTGTGCGGTGAGGGGAAATGCTGACAAGCTGCAGGGTGACTTCCAAAGACTGGCTGAGATGGCAAACACTTAGTAATTGCAACATAATGAGAATAAATGCGGGATTATCTTTTTTGGTCACAAAACATTATCCGAATGATTATTATCAGAATTATGGCAGTTTAGGAAAAGGTAAAGTGCAACGAGACTTAGGTGACATGGTGGTACAATCTTTGGAGGTTGGCATGTGGGTGCGGCAGGCAGTGAGGAAAGTTAATGGTATGCTCTCATTCAAAGCAAGAAGATTTGTGTAGCAGAGTAAAAATGTCCTGCTGCAGTTATACAGGGCTTTCTTATGGCCACACCTTAGTATTGTACGCAGTTTTGGTCTCCTAGTCTGAGGAAGGACAATGGTGTTTTTGAGGGAGTCCAGTGAAGGGTCACCAGACTGATTGCAAGCATGGCAATAATGACATATGAGGAAAGACTGGATCGACTGGTCTTGAACTCACTGGAATTTCGGAAAATGAGGGGCAATCTCAAAGAAACATATAGAATCCTAATGGAACTGGACAGGCTATATGTAGCAAAAAATATATATATTCTCGATGTTGGGTAAGCCCAGAACTAGCGGTTACAGTCGAAGTATAAGCAGAATGCCAATCACGACTGAGATGAGGAAGGATTTCTTCACTTGGAGAGTTGTGAACGTGGGCATTCCTCTCCCTGTGTCCAGATCTTTACATATATGCAAGAGGGATTTGGATGTGGCCCTTGTGGCGATAGGGAACAGGAGGATGGGGAGAGGGTGGGAATGGGACGCCGAAATTGCATGTTCAGCCATGATCGAATGGAATGGTGATGCAGGCTCGAATTCTGAATGGCCTACTACGGCATCTATTTTCTATGTTTCTATCGGTTTCACAAAAATTCTGGCATTGTTATTCGAAAATAAAGTTCGTTTGGAACCATCCTGGTCAAATTTTTGATCATTGAATAAAAATGTTGAGGCTGATTTGATTGTCAGTCTCCACTTCATATCTTTTTTTTTGTGTGCAGCACTTATTGCCAATCCATACTATCCCACAGGACACTTAACTGTCAACCACATCACTGTGGGTCTGGGGTCCGTATAGGCCAGACCATGTAAGCATGGCAATTTTCATTCCTGAAAGACATTAGTGAACAGTACTTCTACTATCAGTAACATTGATTTCTGAAGAAAGGTCCAGAACCGAAACGTCAGCTTTCATGCTCCTCTGATGCTGCTTGGCCTGCTGTGTTCATCCAGCTCTACACATTGTTATCACAGTGAACAGTATTGTCGTTTTTATATCAATTAACAAAATAATAATCAAGGCTCTTAAGTACAGATTTGTATTAAATTGAAGTTCAACCATCTGCTGTGGAGGAATTTGAAACTGGGTTCCCAGGGGATTACCTGGGCTTCTGAGTGAACAGTCCAGTGATAACACCAGGTGACAATCACCTGTTGCCGATATTAACAATATCTGCTAATGTATATATGCTTTATTCGATATAATATTTGAAACAACGTAGTTCGAGTAGGGTGGAATCAATGCAAACTTGCAGTCTCTCTATTCTGAATATTCTATAGTTATCACATGATGAAATTTACAAAAAAAATGTACATTTAATTAAGACTGTAACTATACAGAAGATTGAATAGTAATGCCATTGTGCATTTTGTCACAAACGTTCTCGATCTTTGTTTTCTGATGGATCCTGTTTTGTAACTTTTCTGCTTTTGACTCACAGCGAACCTGGTGACGATAATAATTCTCTCCAGGGGAAACTGCGGCATTTCTGATTGTACCTGTGCATACATGCAAGGCATGGCAGCAGCAGCTATTCTGATCATATTCTTCAATGTAACCGTGCATCACATTTTCCGTTTTCACTTTATACATTCCTTCTTCTCCTGCACTGGAGTTTGTAAGTTTATTATCTTCATGAATGCAGTCAGCCTGTACCTGGTAGTGTGGTTCACAGTCCTGTCCACACTTGATCGCTATGTCGCTATATGCTGTGAGAGGCTGAAAACAAAGTATTGCAGAGGGAGGACAGCGACTGCAGTTATAATGAGCATTAGTGTCTTAGTTTTCCTTGGTAACGTACCATATTGGTTTAGTTATGAATCTGAGAAAGTAATTGATCATTTACAATGGGGTTGCCGCCCCAAGGAGAACTTCTTCAATTCTCTAGCAGATGTAGCATTCTCTTGGTTACAAAGTGTTTGTGTAGTTTGTCTTCCATTTTCGTCGATTTTCGCGTTTAATTTATTGACAATCAGACGTATTGTAGTAGCCAATCGATCTCGCAGGAACATCCGGGGATGCAGTAGTGACAGTCAAAGAGACCCAGAGGTAGAAAATCGACGAAAATCCATTATTTTCCTCTTGACAATATCTGCCAATTTCATACTTCTGTGGCTGACAGCAATGGTGAGCTTTTCAGCAACAAGGATATCAAACACTGAAGATTTTCAAAGAGGTTATGCAGCTCCTGCCTACATTGCCACTGAAGCTGGTTACATGCTCATGTATTTCCATTCGTGTACAAATGTGTGCATTTATGCCGCCGTTCAAAGTAAATTCCGGCAAGAGCTGAAGAAAGTTTTGACATCTCCTTGGTCAGGTATTCTGAAGTTGGTTCTTCAAAAGGAAAGTTGAAAAGTATCATATTGTCTATCTCCTTGTGTTCTCAAGTGTCAACAAGTTCCCATATAGAAAAGTAAATATTTCAATTTCTTCAATTCAAATCAGAACGTTTCAAAAAAGAGTAATGAAGACTCTCTAATTATGTACTAATTTTCATGAAAAACATTTTACGCTTTTTGTGTCAGGCAAAAAAATTTTGAATTTTTTTGGTTGCTTGAGAAACATCAAGAACTTTTACAACGGCACTTGGAAGAGTCCACTCACAATAAACAAACTCCCATGGACATTTGGGAAATGAAAACACTTTATTAGATCTCTCTGCCATTCTGCACGGTCCAGACAGCTTCAAGTAGGTACAAAGAATAAAAGATAGAAATTAAAGAATTTGGTGTGCCAGGTGCAAAATCTCAGGTGGTCAAACTTTGTGAAGTTATGGATCCATTCTTGGAAGCGGGGAGATGATCCTACGGACTGGGATAAATCGCTTGGCCAGCCTGAGCTACTGGGTATCAGCCTTTATTTTAGTTGACTGCTCAAGGAGCATCATTGTAAACTGATGAGTTTGCGCTCGGATTTTAGGCTTTATTAATTGCTTGATCATAGTTAACATTTTATTAACCAAGTGGTAGTGAATTGTATGTACATTTTAACTAAATTGATAAAGTTAATGGTTAATTGAGACAGTTTTGACTCTTGTCCTCTTTACGCCGACTCAGTAACTGTTGCCAAGGGTGGTAACTGAACAATAAGTGGGATTAACAGGAAAGTAGCATTAAGTGAAAGCGAGTTTCAGGGGTCTGCTTCCGGGATAAAAGTTAGTAGAAACCCCAACATCATTGAGTCACAGTTTGATACTGGGAAATGTTAAATAGAAGAACCAATTTTCAGTGATGCACAGAACCTGCAGTCCCAGGTTCACACACGATTAACTTCTTCTACATCTGTCTTCAGAGAGCACGTTTTTTTTTTATTCACACTCCCCAGTTGAGGAAACAAGCCTTGTTCATATTGCTGTGTTGCTTGACTGTACAGCGATTGAAAGACCTTGTTTAATGGAATTCACAAAGATGTCAGTCCCAAGATGTGAAATCTCACAGTACACCCTATTTGTAGCAGTGTAGCAGTGGTGTTGTAACAGTTAAAGGATTTTTGTGAGATGGGGGGCATTGTTGGTAGGTTTTAAGAAGTCATACAAGAGGATGTTTATGCCAAAGACCCTCTTCACTACTGTACAAAGAGAAAATACAAATTTCAGGGACTTAGGCATATTACTAAAATAGAGAGGGCCGTATAATGGGGCGTGATTACACAAAACGATGAGATTTGTAAAATTGGATCAGATTATCGAACATCAGACATTTATTTTAAGGAAATCAAAAGAACTGCGAATGTTGTAAATCAGGAACAAAGACAAGGTTGCTGTAAAAGCTCAGCAGGTCTGGCAGCATCTGTGAAGACAAAAACCGAGTTAACGTTTCGGGTCTGGTGACACTTCCTCAGATCAGATCATCAAACCTGAAACTTTAATGCTGGTTTTATCTTCACATTTATTTTAAAGAGCTGGACTAGTTACCAAATATCGGACATTTTGCATCACTTTGTAAGTTTTGAATTTAGATTAAACAGATGGTATGGATTTTAGGGTCTGTTGAAATATACACAGATACAGCTGGGTGAAACAATGGATGAGATAAGGGGAATGTAAGTGATGTGTTATGGAATAGACACACGGCTCAAAAGAAATCAAGTAGGTCGCAGAGACGGTAACATTGACCTTATTTTCACGCCTGCACATTGTTGGATTCTAGCTGTGATTTGATTGGTCAGACTGTTGGGCATTAAGAAAAGCACACTCGACTCGTATACCAGAATTCCAAAAAGAAATAACAACAAAAAATAATTTACACAACTTTAAATCTATAAAAATGTTTACCAAAATGCTATTTTTTTTTGAAATACGACTCATCAACTGTTCCAATATTGCAGCGTCCCATAAACACACGCTTGAGAAAATCAAATTCAGCAAACTAGATTGCCCTCACTTGCTAACTTCTCCTGCACAGAAGAAAGAACATGGACAGGATGAATCCAGCAGCAGAGACAGAACTCAAGTTTTCACAGTAACTAAGAGATAGACATAGGAATATAGAGAAAGGGATGGGGATGGGGGTAGGGTTAAGGTCTTTGGTGAGCAGCTAAAACTGCAAAAAAAAACTCAACTTCAGAAACTGTGAGCCTGTCTCCGCCCTCAGGTCACCTTTCGTACATTTTTGTTTTAATGACGAAGTGTAGATATCGCAGTTCCACATTTACAACACACCTTTTTAAGAAAAATAACGAAGAGGGAGTACCTCCTAAAGGCACATCTCATCTTAGATTTTCGGGGCAAACTTAGAGTCAACTGTAGGAGAACAAGTTTGGATACAATTCAAAGATGATAAATCCTCATCAATTGATTTTAAATAGGGATGATTTTTCAAGAATGAAATGTTCTGTTATAGAAGCTAAAGATCACAGTGATCAACTTGGAATTTGTTGAAAGCGGTGTTGTTTATCTCAATCAGATAATGGCTGGTTTGTAAAACAGAGTGACACTAACAGTGTTGTTTCATTTGCCTTGCCAGCTGCGGTTAACGAGAATGTCCAGCCTTTTCACCCATACGCCATGGCGATGGCATGGGGGTTCCTGATTTGAACCTTAACACCAGTTGTCTCTTTGCAATGGCAGATTGTTGCTGAGAGATTATGGTGAGATCAGGATAAAGCGATATTTGTGAATGATTGTGTAAGGTCAGCAGAGATTCAGATGATCTCTCCTGACGAGAGGAGAAAACGTTATTGACAGCTTGAGTGCAATTAACTACTCAATCCAAAACTGTAGAACTCACAATTGTCGATTAAATGTTTCTAGCAACAAATTAGGTAAGAAAGGCACACAACATTCAAGGCTACATTAGTTTCAGGTAGTTATAATTTCAACCAACATGCGGGCTATTCAAGGAGGCATTAGTTTAACGATTCAGACAGATACAAAAAAAAAGCTCCTCTTTGCTTTCTTCATGATCATCCATTGGGTCAGCAGGAAACACAGAGTAACTCCTGAACATGCCGACAGACCACCTTGAACATAATTTATTCACATCCTTCACATGGAAAATTCATTTCTGAGCGGAGTTTCATTCCCAATATTTATTGAGGACTACACACATTATTTATCCAGATTCATTCACTATCGATACAGAACACAAATACACTTTCACCATCATCCGTAATTTCGTTTTGCTTATCAATAAGACATCAAAACACTCTGCACACATGCCACACATCCACATAACCACAACAGACGTGCAATGCAACGACATTGATGTGCACATATCATTAAATACTCCAAAGGTCCTCATACAGCAACTTTCAAAAGCATACACAGTTTCAACGTGAAAGGACAAGGGCATTAAATACATGAAAACACCATCGTTGACATGTTTCCCTCCGAGCGACATTGTAGCTCGAATCAGAGCAGGTGGACTATTCCAGTTCACCACGACCTTGTTAAGGGGCAAGTACGGATGGGCAATAAATGCTGACCAGGCCAGCGAAGGGTACATGCCACAAATGAAAAAGAAACAAATAGCATAAATGAAAGAAAAACAGAGAGCTGGTTGAAATACTCATCCATTCTCATCTACTAATTGACCACAATGCAAACTAGTCATCAAATTTATCCATGAGCCACTCATAACTTAAATGCTGTAATTCACTTAACTATTTAACGGATTAATCCATTTCAGAATGTCTTACAACATTCACTTATTCTGACATTTCTCACTTGGGAGAATACATCTATAATTACATTAACTTCTTCCAGTGATTTGTGTTAACCTTCTATTTAATGTTTCAAATTAGAAACATCGTTTGAATATGCACTGTTTTCCCCAGTTAATAACTGGAATATTCCCATTTCCTACTATTACTTTCAGGGCATTTCATCATTAGTTCAACATAGCACGTAAGAAACAAAAACAGAAATGTCTGGAGAAAGTTGAGAAGTCTGGCAGAATCTATTGATAGAAAACAGAGGTAAAGTTTCAAGTCAACTGACATTTCTTCAGAACTGAGTACTCCAAACAGCTAAAACTGGGTAAGTTTGAAACTTACATTAATCTCACCAACTTTTACAAATGCTGCATGGAAAGAATTCTATCTGGCTGCATCACGACTTGTATGGCAACGGCTATGCCCTGAACCGTATAAGGCTACAGGAGGTTGGGAACACAGCCCAGTTTGTCAACAGGTGCCGTTCCATCCGTGGACTACAATAAATCAAATCAAATCACGTCCAACTGTCTGTCTTTTCCACATAATCCTGTACAGCTGCTGACCAAGATCTAGCTGTCTCACACTTAAATATAAATAGTGGCTTTGCCCCCATTGCTCTGTGTGGTAAGGAATTCCAAAGATGCACAACCTTTTGAGAGAAGAAATTCGTCCTTAAGTTTTTGTTACCCGTTTATTCTGAGAGGGCGCCCTCTGCTCCGAGACTCTCGCATGAGGATAAAAACCTTTCAGCATTTAACCTGTCAAGCCTCTTAAGATTCCTGTATGTTTCACTCAGGTCAACTCTCATTTTTCCATGTTATACTTGAGCAATCTATCTGACTTCCAGAAAGGTTGTTTTAAGATTTACCACTTTCAACAAGACATACGAAAGGAAAGATCATCCCAAGGGTAGTCTGCTACAGGTCTCCAATAATAAGAGTGAAATTGAGAAAAGAAAAATGGTAAGATCTCATACATTTGCAAGCATAATAAGTTTTTAATAATGAGTGTTTTAATTTTCCAAACATTGACTGTGGTTACTGTAGTGTTTAAGGTTTGGGTAATGAACAATTTGTCAAATGTATTCAAGAATATTTTCTTTTTCAATATGTGAATTTCCTACTGGAGAAGGAGAAAAAAAAATGAAGTTCTTTTGGCCAAAAGACAGGGAATGTGAATAAAAAAAATCTAAGAGA